GTATATACAGAGTTCATCAAAATTAGCCTTTTCCTGTGAGACCACATTTCTGGTACAGAGGTGCCTATTTTTGGTGTGCCTGTGATTTGCAACTGGCATTCCCTATCTTATTTTCACGGTTAATTGGCTACGCATCACATGGAACCAGAGACCTGCAGGTGACACAGTGGAAGGACAGCCTTGGGATGGAAGAAACTCTAATCACTGAAGCATGTCAAACTTTTTTTTTCCATCTTTCCCCCAAGTCGATGAAAATATCTTGTTTAATTATTAGTCTTGTGCCTGCCTTACCTCTCAAATGCTTTATAATCTTTCCAACCATCTCTTATTTTCTTTTACATTTTTAGTGCTCAATGGACTGTGCAGGTCTCTCCTCCATCTAATTTCCCTCCTCATTCAAACTCCTACTCTGCCTGAGAATGCAGCCATATCTCAATTACACCTCTGGAAATGCCTGTGCAATTTCCTGGAAGATTATAGTGATGGATTTATTCAATATCAATCACAGCGAATGTGAGTCTCAAAATAACCCTCCACATCTGGGAGGAGAGGTTCTCAAGTAGTGGTCAAAGAGCTGCCAGAAATAAAAATGTTCTATCGTACTCTCCTGGTATCTATTTTAATTTATTACTAGTGTCTTTATTGAAAAACACACAAGGTTGACCATGATTTTGCTTGAGTGGAACATGTTTTGCTAAAAAAATAAATACCAAACCATGACTGCAACATTAACAAGTTATCAACTCAAATAAAATGAGCCATTCCCCAGTGAGCTGTCATATAATTCCACCAAAACTTTGACTTTCTCCCTTAAACAAGCTGTTTGAAAGATGTCACATTCGTCTGACCTCAGGGCATTATTACCCTGTAATCATGTGTTGCTCTGCATGGCTACATTTGTTATTTCTCTTTGACAGCCTAATGTTAGAAGAAAGCAATTTTACCTGATGGATGATCACAAGACTGGGAGAGGCTATATAAGCTTCATGCTTCACCAGTGAATTATGCACAACAAAATCTCATAGATGCTCAAACTAGCTGCCCACAATACCTGCCTTCTCAAATATACTACCATTCCGTTGGTTTTACTAGCTGGGTATAATTGCGAGAGCTGAGGACCTCTAAGCTTGTCAGAATGTGCACAAGGTCCATTCATTATCATAGTATTTACTTGTCCTCCTAAATCAAACAGGCTGTCAGTTCATGCCGCGACGGTATGAAAAATTGTTGACTTATTTTTCTAGCAGCATAGCCTGGATGACAGATTCATGGCTTTCAGGTCTTTCATGATCACAGAAATCAATCGGAGCTGCTCCCCTGGCCTGCACTTTGTCTGTTGGCGGCTATAGGGATAACGTGTCAAAGTGGGCCTCCTCAATCTTGTCACTTTAAGTGCAATCAATAGTGCTTCCCCACCAACCGAACACCTCTGAATATCAACCCCCCCCCTTTTTTTTTTCTTCTCACACGGGGACTGAACATTTCGATCAATAACTGACTTTAGGCCAAAGAAACATCTGCAGAGGCAACAACAAAAAGTGAGGTTAAATTAAATGCTCCACGATTTACTGAACTGCATTGAGAACTACGAGGAATTCTGTGTGACCATCGAATCTAGAAAACTGCATGTTTGCTGTGGCTGCATACATCAGAAAACAGAACGCGACACACAGATGAGACTGAGTATGCATGGTGGTGATTTCCACCACCTGTCACCAAAAAAACGAAAAACAAAACCGAACCGCAATTCAAACCACACTCCCTTAAATATGTCAAACAACACATTACAGCTCGATTACAGCAGGAATACCACTGGCTTAAGAGAGTGTTGTCTTCCAGCACAATTTTCCTGAAGCGTTTTCCATTGTGAATATGTTGTCGCGAAGTCCCATACATCACCGAGGAGAATTCTCAATGTATGGCCTGCCGTCTGCTTCCAGACAGCTCCAATCCATAAAAGCGAGCCTCTGGCCAAGGTATCAGTAAATTAGTGCATCTAAAAAATTCAGGAAGCTCAGGGAGAGCCTTGGTGTGTGGATGTAGGTGCCTGGCCCGGGAAACGATTGTATTAATTGCCAGGGGGATTAAAAGCATAGACCTCCACTTGCTCATGCATATTTGACAGTTCTGGTGGAGTCCTGGAGTCTGTGTTGTTGCAGATGGTTGATGTTTGGAGCTGTGCTGTGTGTATATTAGATTCATAGTTATGAGTGGGTGTGAGGTGAACACATTCGTCGCATCTGTCTGATCTCGCGTGTGTCCCCTCTTTTCTTTTCGGTAGTGTTAGGATGGTCATATGGGAGTCCCTCCTCCGTGGCCTTAAAGGCTGTCGCTGCCCTCTTGTGTTTGTCTGTGCCAAAGATTGGTTCACTTCACACAGAGAGTCCTTTCTGTGATCATCGCACACAAACAGATGCACGGCAAAACACAGACGGATAACTATCAACCCCTTATGCCAGAGAAAAAAAACAAAAAAAAAACAAACAACTCATATATCAAGTGACATTCAACTTCAATACAAATAGACATGGATATGCAATCAGGTGGTGCACACACACACACACACACACACATCTACAGCGAGTATCAGTTCAAAGAGCAGCAGCGCCATTTCAGATATGATTCTGGACAGCATCAGTTTGACGAAGAGGGAGAGCTCTTGACAGTGTTGTTGGTGGAACAGCATCAAACGGTGGTGTGAGTGTGTGTGTGTGTACGTGCGGATGCCACATCTGCTGATAATGTCCACGCACAGCCCTACGGTCAGAAGTGAGGCTGTTGATATCGAGAGCCAGCAAAGAGCTATACATGGTGTTCTTATTTGTCTGCAGAGATGTTCCGGCCACACAGAGTGACATGTGATCAGATGGCTTTTTGGAACATCTGCACATGATTCATAGCCTCAGAAACACATCGTTGTCTAGTATAATATGCGCACAAATTTGAAGAAAAAGCCTGGAACGGCGAAATTCTTGCACAAAAACTATAAATGTCGAAGCACTTCAATTTGAAATGATGCTGATAAGCAGTAAGTGTTCGCATTAGCTCCCACCGCCATTTGTGATGGGAAACTCTAGCGCTAACTCATGGTGTAGACAAACAGAATGCCACAAGCCAATTGTAGAAATCGCTGTTGTACGTAATTAAAAACAATCTAAAAATATTATCAAATAAAAAAACTGAGGTCTGGCCAGTTACTAGCTGTGCATGCTTCATTAATCAGAATTAAACATGTGTAATGTTGTTTTCAGCATTTCAAGACCTCTCAAGTGTTTATATTTCTGTTTGCATGCAAAATGTCTGTAAAGTTACAAAACTGAAAAATAATAACCAATGTGAGATTTTCTCTCCCACAGAATAAACTGAATCTCTGTTTGCTGTATTCATTCTGAATGACACATGCATAATAGTACACTTCAGTATGCTTCTCTAATGGATAGTTTGGCACTCCTTGAATAAAATATGAGTAGCAGAGGTTCTAATTGCAGACCAAGCAGCATACGCTAAAACCAAGTTCAGAGTGCAGCACTTTTCCAGTTATTGGATAGCTGTGTTGGTTGCACCATGTCAAGTACCATCACCTGTAATATTTTTTTCCCCCTCTCCTGTCCTTGTGGGTTCATACTGCATGATTGATCATAGCAGGGGTCGTACACTTCAAAATGTTTTGCCAAAATTGTTTCCGAACTTGTGTGCCAAGGGGCTCCTGGTGGTTAAATTTGCATAGCTTACCTGGTTGTTGAAGAGAAAAGTGGCAGCCTCGCTCCAAGGCTTTTCTCACTTGCAATTCTGCCATGATATTGGACATTAAAAACATCAAAGAAGACACACAAGTGTTGTAAAAAATGTTCTGCTAGACTCTGTTGTCTCCTGAGCAGAAAGTAACTTTTTTGGGAGCACCCTCAAAGCGGAGGAGGCTGAAATGAATTTGAATGGGCAAACGACAGGCTCTTTAAAACTCATTTATCAAAAAGCTATTACAACAATATTTAAGGCATCACCTATTAATATACACAGAAGACGCTCCAAAACCTTAGGTCATGTTAAGGTTATGTATCAGCTCTCTCCTTTGGTATCAGCAGTCTTCACAAGAAAATATCAGATTCTTTAGCCACTAAATTGAGTATGTAATGCACATGCTGCTAATTTTGAGGATAGAAACGCTGATGATGACAGCAAAACTGACGTAAGGTAGAATGTGTAGTTACTGGTACGTGTTCGAAATGTCACATTACTTTAATATCTGTCATAATAAACCAGTACTTACCTTGAATTGTTTGAATTTCCATTATGTTACCCAGCCCCCCACCTGACAGTGAAAAATGTCAAGTCTTTTCAAAGTCACTGTGTGACTCTGGCACAAAACGTAAAATATGTTAATGTTTGCAACCCTCTGCTCTGTTGGTGAAGAGCAAATTTGTATCCACTGATGCAGGGTGAGCTCTCGCAAGGGCTTTGAAGTGTCAGAAAAATGCCGTGCCAACATGCTTAATGTTCAAGTTCGCCATTACCATTTAGCCACTTTGGAGCTGTGGTGCACAAAATCGCAGGTTGGAAAATAACCCAATAGTGTATGTAACAGCTATTCTGGAGCACATTTACCATATTACCTGCTTATAGATTGCTTTCACGTGTATGATTAATACATTCAGGTGAATTAGCGCTCCCTGTGAGGCTTTCACTGATAAAGGGGGACCATATGTTAATTTTGTGTCAAGATTTCAGTATCAAATGAAAATTCATCGTCCCACGGCAGCAGAGATAATCAATCAGGAGGAGGATACAGTAACTATGTCCTGGTAGAATGAAAGAAATTTCAAAGTGCGATCAATGTGCAGAGAGAGTTGATGCAATGTTTTTCTGCTAAATTTCAAGAGGTTCAACAGAATGTATAATGTCTCACTTAAATGTCAGTGCTGAGGATGAGTTTGTCTCTTGTGGGATTTTACTTGATCAGAGTGTCAAAATATAAACCATTGCTGTGAGCTGCCTGTACTTACAGAGATTGTTAAGCAGTCCGTCAGGCTCTCTCTTGTCTGGGTGGCATATTCAGACAGTGTTCGCTCGGTGTGGCAGCAGAGATGGATGGAAACGGTGGGCGTATCTGGATCCAACGTCATGGTTCAAAGCCATGGCCACTGTGCAAAGACAACAAACACAGAACAGAATGAGCAGTGGACACAAGTCCACACGTCCCTCCTTTACTTCAGCAGCCGAGATCGAGATGAGAAGGTTGAGACGGCCGTTCTAATTGTTTGACAGTCTGAACATGGTTTGCATAGCTTTCTAAAAAAGAAGCACATCATCGAATGCCCAAACACAAGTTACTTTTATATAAAAGAAAATAATAAAATGCCAAATATAGTATATGTGCAATCCAAAGTAAGACCTGAAATCAGGTATCTTTATTTATCTCCACCGTTTGTGTCTGACTGTGGGCCGCAAAAACATTTCTAATCGCACAGGACCCAGGACGATCTAAATCAATTTCTAGTCAGTAACTAGCAGTAAGCCACAAACACAGATTCAGACTGTGAATACACCATCAATTGTGAAAGGTATAATTATCCAATTAGCTAATGATTATTCAAGAAATATTGCAATTGCTATCAAGGCTCCACAGACAGGGATTTATTTTCAAGACTTAAATAACCATGAGAAAGATGAGGTGCTTTGGTTATTAGATTCCAATCTACATTTCCCTTACATTATATTGTACTCCTCCACTTTCTAAAGAAAGTGCTATAGGCTCTGAATACCTCTGATGAGTGTAGCCTAAGTTCACTATATGTGCTCACGGTGCATGGGAGCCATTATCCAAGAGTGCTAGAGCACTCTGTCATATTGCTAGACAAGTAACAGGCACACCTCATGTTTAAATGGAAAATTTTAGTGTGCGAGCCTTGCAGGAACAAAAAAAAAACAAAAAAAAAACTCTGTGACCAAGCCAAACTCACTTATTTAAAAGCAGCTCTAGACAACCTGCTGCATGTGCCTGTTGAGAAAGAAAAGTAACACAAAAATAATGCTGCTCCCAGTTTTGAGCAGAAGTTGAGAAACAACTGAGGTGAGGGTGAGGCAGGAGAAGGTGATAACGGAATAAATCTGGAGTCCTAAGGCCATAGTGTTTAGTACACAAAGCCAGTCTATGCTTGGCTAAAGATTCAAAGATTGCATGTTGTGACTGTGACTTTGTGGCGTGCTCCTGTGTGAATACATTAGTTATTCATGTGTGCAGCATGTCTTTACACAATATGACTAATCACAGATGACAAAACTGCAGAGAAATCACAGAGGCCCTGCTTTTGAAACACAAAAAGAAGCCTTGAAGGAGTGGAGGCTGTTGCAGAAGAGAGTGATTATCAGTAGGCTTTAGTCAGAGAAAGATTTGGGGAAAGCTGGAAGGTGAAACATGTTCACGCTGTGCGTCGCATCCCTTTAGTCTCACATAGTTAGACAATACGTTGTCCAACTGATTTCCCCATGGTTAAAATTTGCCTAATGATCTTTGTCTCTGGTGCCCTAATTCATTTATTATGCTAATAGGCAAAGCCGGCAGTCTGATCAGACGTTGCATGAACTTAAGTGTACTTCAGTGTTCTAATCATGCAGGAGGATGATTTGAAAGCTCCTAGCAATGCCGCTGCAAGATGATGAAAATTATTCCGAAAATTGTCAGATGATGATAAAGGCATAAAATATCTAAAAGGCAGATATTTAAATCTCCCTTGCCACCAGACTTTGCTCCCTCGTGAGCATAAGTGTTCTTTCAGGTTAACATGTACAGCAGGGGCATATTTTGGACTGATTAGCTGTAGGGTGGCATGAGCTCTGAGAAGTGTCTTCACCGCTGAGAGCACTGAATTCCCTTTATATGTGTGACCCATTAGGAACAAAAACCCATAAAGGTTACTAAATACAGCTCCAGACTGGCACAGTCTGGCCTTTGAATAGGTCTTTATCCCCACTCTACCACCTTAATCTCCCCGGAGAGCACCGTTGAAGGAGGAGCCAATCTAAAGTAGCCAATCTATAGAGCAGATTCTCCTCACTGAGGAGTTGTAAAAGATGGAAAGGTAAAGAGCAAGCCCACAAACTTGTTCAGACACCGTGTTCCTTAACTGTCACGGAGGAACAATAAGCAACAAAACACCAGTGACACCAAACCACATTTCAATGGCTCTGTGTGGGTTGACGTGTTTCTTTCTTTCTGTCACCTGCAAATACTTACGAAATGCTAAAAGTAGATGAAAAAGGCTGAGAAAGCAGCTGGTGGATAGATGATACTGAACATAATCCATAAGCAAGGAAGACTGTGGGCTCCTATGCTCAGCAAGAATTATGTCACTAACCATCTAATATCCAAATATCGATAGGTTTTGATTCTTTTGAAGTAATTATTCTATCTGTTATATTACCTAATGATTGTAAATGTCAAAGTATTTAATATCAAGTCCCTAAGAGGGAACAGACCACATGTTAATTTGAAGTTTGCTGATCAATCCTTAATCTCGGGAATTGATTTCCCCTCTTGAACCTCATGTGAAATCCAGACTTGACCCAATTTGAGTACTCTAGCTTCAACAGGAGATAAAACAGAAATGGTGTACCCTAACTAAGGTATAAGTCATCTTATTTAACATTTAATTTAACAGTCCAATTGCATGTCTGGAACTGAACAGTTCTTTTGTATAGCAATGACTGCACTAAAGGAATGTGGCAGCTAACAATCTTAATAACCTGCTTATGCCATCAAGGACCCCGATCTCAATGATTTGTTGTGGCATTTTGACTTGAGCCCGCCTGTTTTCTGACAACTCCAGATAATATCTTACCTCTAGTGGTCAGAATTTCTTCAGAAATTACTTTAATTTCAGATTTAAAATGGATTCTTTGGCAAAAAACGTCACTTTTCAGCTCATTTAAGGCAATATTTTGTACGGGTTTTAATTCAGTAATAAATGTAGGGGCCTGTTACATGCATTCACTGCATTAAACTAAGTTATCATGATAAGTTATGTTTCATCAATGTAGACTATACATGTAAATAACATGCATTTTTAGTTTAATCTCACATCTGTACTTACTCGTTAAAATAACTCACCATTTCATAGAATTTCTAGCTGAAAAATGTGATGTTGCATTTGGATTTTTATTTTACAGCACTAAAGAAAATAAACTCGAGACATGTTATAGAGGACAATCAACTGGAGTTGCATGTTGAACTGCATACATTAATCAGGAAAAACAAGACAGCGAAGATTTGCCAGTTTTGAAATTCTCTTTCAGTTGCTTGATTATTATAAATGTGGCTCACTGTGAGTGGCCATTGCATAAAAATGTCATAAAATTCCATTAAGTACAGAACGCAGCGCAGAGGAAGGATGTGACATGCAGGTAATGGAAAGTGAGGAAAGGCTCTTTCCTGCCAGATTTGAGGTCCACAGAGATGAAGCCGGTCGTATCATATTTTCACTTATCACAACTTCCCCTCAGAATATCCCACTGTGAAATTGCTGTTTTATGTCTGAGGACTACCGCATCTCTAAAAAATCCCCCTTAAGAGCACAGTTTTAACCGTCTTATGACAAAAACATGTCCGCGCTGCTATGAACCGTCTGAAGTACTTTTGAGAGAGCCCGTCGAAAGCGTGAGCAATAAAGCTGGCCTGGCACTCTTCATTTTTAAATACCCCAAAGGGAATGTCTGTAATGCAGTTTTCTAGTACTTTGCATCTCCTGTCTACTAGAACCAGAGCCACCCTTCAAGAGCGATCTGCCGCCTTATTGCACCGTCAGCAGGAAGACAGCAGAGGGGGGGGGGGTTGCTTGTTGCAGGCTGTACTTTGTCATATATCTCAGGGGGTCTGCTCCACTGGCTCTTCATTACCTGCTTTCAGCGAGCATCCCAGCAAGGGGGCATGTGTCTGGATAAAAAGTCTTGATTATGTAACCATCTGAAAAACTGTCCGTCGGCCTATTTACAAGTCAATGCAGCAGAGCTCCTGTATTTCCTAAGCATGTCTGAGACTTATAGCTCCCGGTGTACGTGATGGATCTATAGACATGCTCTTCTGTCTATAGACATGCTCTCTTCTGGTGTTTTCCCAAAGCAAGGAATCAAAACAACCAATCACTAATACATGCACTGACAATTGTGAGCTTTCATTGAGTCTGTTCATTGACTAATGTGGGCATCGCTCTTTTGTTTGTTTTTTGTTTGTTTGTTTGTTTTTCAGTGGGTTTATGTTTTTCAGCTTGTGCATTTAGACAATTGTCAGAATTTGAGACTGCACATTGACTCAGCACTGGTCGGAGTGCCGCCCAGATGAATGAAAAAACCTAAAACAAACAGATAAAGATACGCAGATCTTTACAACCTCAAAGCAAATAGGATGCAGTACTGGACCAGGGTTTGTTTTGGTACACACACTGTGGCCTGGCTTCCTCTCACCCCTCTCACACAGCACCACTCAGAGCTCAGTGCACTAATTAGATTCTTATAAGCAGTGAGTAAATGAGGTCATTTTGAAAACTTGCAAGAGGGGTTTGCTTGTCTGGTTCAGTGACATGTCATCTGTGTCAGTCACCCTTTTAAATATGGGAATTTGCTCCATTCGCTGAAGTTCAGGGAATGCAATAGAAAAGAATGCGTATTTAATTAGTTTGGTCAATTTTACATTATGCTGCTAAATTAAAAGCCTTTCATATACCGCTTTTCTAATCTAGTTTACTACTTGAATCACTTTTACACTGGAGGCCATGTTTACCTATTACCACACAGCACTTATTGTCTGTACAGGATTCGAAGCTATGGCGCGATTTTTGTCTCTATCACGCACAACCACACACAGTTGAATACATCGGAGACAATATAGGGTTCAGTGTCTTAACAAAACGACACTTATGTGGTCTGAATAAGTTGGAGGAGGCTAAACGCTGACCTTTCAAACAGCAGATGAGTGCTCTTCCCCAAGCTACAACCGCTCCTTAGCAGTTTTCACAACTGAGCAGCAG